CTGGAAAAATGATAGGCTTGTTTAATTAACAGCAGAGAGATTAGTCTGAGGTCTGAAGCTGTTCTTCTGAGCTTTTTTTCACAGAGTGCACACCCACAACTACACTTTGAAGGTATGGTTGGGAGGCATGCCAATATCTGCTCTTCAGACAGGGCAAGCCAGTCATATAGCAAGTGGCCCATTGTTTTTAAAAATAACACTTCATATAGCATTACACATTATATCAAGACATATTGTGTACATATGCTCTGCACAGCAGCAGTAGAAAAGTTTACAATAGAGAATTGGATGGACTGTAAACCATGGATAGAAAGAAAGGGTCCAGAAAATTCTAAGACATAAGGTACTACAGTAGCAAAATTGTAATGGTACCAGAGTCCTTTCAGGGAAATAATATAATAACTATTATGTTATGCCTCTCTATTACATCATTTACAGTCAGCTAATATCATAAAAATCTGTTTCTTTGCTGCATTTCCTTCAAGCCATTGTACAAAGTTGACATTTTTCCCTTTGGCAAGTGTTTAATTATTATTTTTAGGAAATTGGTTATTTTGCTAAGAATAAGTTGCCCTGGCCCTTGACAATGCTTGTAAATTGTGTGGTTTACAAAATGATTTTTTTTTTTTTGTGCTTCATAACTTTAAACCTCTGGCTGGCTGAGGGTGTACATCATGAAGTATGTCAGGATAACTAGGTTAGTGCTCTGAGATTACAAATTAGCTTCATCCTCCTTCATCTCTGCTATATATTTTTGACAAATTATGAAGAGAGTGCTCCTTAATGGGAACTTTGTCAGCAGAATCAAAATGAATAAAACCTATGAGAGAAACCATTCAATAGAAGCGGTTTAAAATGTTTAAACAATGTGGCTATAAGATCATCATTTAAGCTAAGAGATAGTCTCCGCATACCTTTCCAGCAGAGCATGACACTTGGAAAATGAGTGTAGAGGCCTTTGACAGTGCTCTATAATCAATGTTTCTTAGCAAAGCCTAAAATAATCCTAAGGGAGCATGTATAACTAACAGTAACCTGCACAATATTAAAGACTGTGATATCCTTAGATTTCTGCCTCTCATAGGGTTATCAAGTAAAAACCTCATTTTTTTTTCTTCCAAGAGCCTACAAAGAATTTCATTCTTTTGCACATTTTACATTCCGTGAAATTTCCTCAGTATTGTTTTCCAAGAAATTCTATGGATTATTTCAAAGAATGCAGAACAAGATTCAATTCCATTATGAGTCCTATTGCGATCAGTTATCCTTAGTGCCTGTAAACAGAAATTTTCCTGAATAAACAAACACATTTTTTTTTAACTTTACCATGACAACACAAAGAGGACAGCCCAGTGCAGGCATTTAGCTGTGCACCCATAAAGCTAACAGGAATTGAAAAGTGTGGGTGCACACACATACACACACATTGCTCAAGTACCTGGCTGCAGGCAAAAATATTTAAAAGTTTAGAGCAAAGAATTGAAAAACGATCACAAGATTTATTAGGGCATCCAGTTGGATAAAGCTATAAAAGAATTTGTCTGAAGATACTTATAGACTTTATTCAGATATTTCTACCAAACATAGGAAGTGTTTTTTCAGCACGCATGTGCTCAAAAGTCACTGGAAGTAGGGCCACAGTTTGCACAACTTTTTCATCTCACACACACATGCAATCACATACTTGAAACCATTCTTGATGCAGATAACATATTGGTGAAAATCTTCCATTCTTTGGGTCGGCTATGTCTACATAAAGACCAGCTTCTCAGATACTAATAATGGGCTTATTATAATTATTATAATTCATAATGGGCTGGGCTGAAAACGTCCACCCTATTTTTGCAAGGCCAGCCTTAAAAGAGGAATAATTTTCAGAGACTTTCAATTTTTACTAATTTTCATTAGGTATGCAGGGATTATTTTACAAAATGGCATTTGCAGGGTTTCATGTTTTCTCTTTCTTTCTTTTTTTATCCCAGTTTTTTTTCCCCCTCAAGTGTTTCCAGTGGTGGAGAAATCTCCCTGATTAGTTTAATCAGTGTCTTACAATGAAATGGGTTTTCACGTGGCCTCTTCATTCCACAACAGAGCAGGACTGCTAATTCAGTCCAATACTAATTCCAATATCTAAAACAGGATTATCATTTCCTCAAACTTGGAGTAAAGCATGTTTCAACTTCAGTCTGTTCTCATGGGCTGAATTCTTCTCAGATATGATGCCATTGTTAAGTGGCAGTCCAAGTGAATGCATTCATTGGACTCTCTGTTGCAGCCTTGAAGGACACAAGGACACAATTTTAGCTTAGACAAAGCTTCAAGTAGATTAGCTGAGCAATATCTACTTAATCTGTATGAAGCAACACTTTACTTTTGGAGTTGGATCCAGCCTCCAGAATCTAGCACATTAAAGACTCTTGAAATCTCTATTAAAAGAATGTATATGATGTGTGTCCGGATGTGTGTATTGGAAGTATCTATATTGTTCTTTAAAAAAAATCGTCCTTTTCCATATCTAAATAGTTTAAGTCTTGCTGGGATAAAGAAACATCCAGAACATCTTTTCCAATAAAACAATAACTGTCCTCAAGGGAATAAAGGAAGCAAAAGGGCTTTGTATGATTTATTTCTGAAAACGTTCTTTAAAACTTATACGTTCTTCCTCCTCCCCTTTCAGGAGGGGAGTAATAATGGGGTAGGGAGTAGGGATGATAAGCAAAGATGTACACAACACTCCTAATCTCCTGTTATGACAGTTTATGTCTCCTATCCAACTTACTTAGCTCCAATGTCTGGGAAATAGACACAATGTCCACCTTATGGAATGCTGTTTAACTTAAAATGCTCCCTTCAGAATAGAAACTTCTTTTGTCCTCCCAAGGTTTTTTTCTAGGTTCTCAGGAATTGCTCCCTCTTCAGAAATGTCCTTATTCATCATTTAGAAATTTGAAGCAATGAAATACTTTTATTATTACTATAGTAAAGAAAATTCCC